GCTGTTCACACAATGACAACATCGCCTAACAACACATTTTTCAGAAAACATCTGTCATTCAGCGACACATGACTGTATAACCTAAATGTTCCAGGCTCTACCTATAGGGTTAACATTTTGGCCCACAAACACTAGCCCTCGCAGGTGGGAGTTCCTGGGTAGGTTACCCTTAGCTGCCCAAATCAATAGCATCATCCTTCTGGTCACTCCCATTTCTCTTTTTTTTTTTTGAGACGGAGTTTCACTCCTGTTGCCCAGGCTGGAGTGCAATGGCATGATCTTGGCTCACCACAACCTCTGCCCCCTGGGTTCAAGCAGCTATTCTCCTGCCTCAACCTCCCAAGTAGCTGGGATTACAGGCATGTGCCACCATGCCTGGCTAATTTTTGTATTTTTAGTAGAGATGAGGATTCCCCATATTGGTCAGGCTGTTCTTGAACTCCCAGCCTCAGGTGATCTGCCCACCTTAGGTTCCCAAAGTGCTGGGATTACAGGCATGAGCCACTGTGCCCGGACTTTTTTCTTTTTTTTTTAAGGGGTCTTGTTCTGTCACCCAGGCAGGCTGGAGTGCAGTGGCACAATCTTGGCTCACTCTGCTTCCCTGGTTCAAGTGATTCTCCTGCCTCAGCCACCCAAGCCACCTTAGCCCAGCTAATTTTCGTGTTTTTAGTAGAGATGGGGTTTTACCATGTTGGCCAGGTTGGTTTCGAATGCCTGACCTCAAGTGATCCGCCCACCTCCACCTCCCAAAGTGCTGGGTTTACAGGCGTACCACTGCACCTGGCCTCTCTTCTTGTAACTCTTTCAGAGTCCCAGGAGCAGTGGTACAGGAGGAAAACGAAGGCTGGCCCATCAATGGAGCTGCTGCCTTGCTGTCCCCCTCCCTTTGTGCCTACTGCTGCTCTGTTTGCCCAGGCTGACAGTGCACAAACCCCCCATGAACCTGGCATCCTTCTCTGCTAGCCATCCAGTCATGACCCATCACTCTGGACAAGAGCTTCTACTCCACTCCTAAGCCAGATTGGTGATAGAGCTGATTTGTCCTGTGTGGGTCTTGGTTTCCTCTTTTCTTAAGAGAGGGGCGTGATCAAATATGAGCTAATATCCCTTTCAGCTCTAGCATCCTGCGATTCCATGTTATTCTCCCTCAACATCCAATCTATTAATACAATGGGCTTGCCCAGTCTGGGCCTTTGGTCCATGCCTTTCCGCTGTGGTGGATACGTTTCCCCATCTCAGGCACTTTATGCAGGTCAGATCATCACTCGCAGCCTAGTTCATATCCCAAAGCCTTTCTTCATTGCCCTGGATCACTGGCTTCCTCCTTGCCCTCATATGATCCACTGATCAACCACTCTCAGCATACAGAGTCCTCCTGGGATTGCAGTCTAGATGTACATGTTGTGTGAACCTCGACAGACTATAAACAACTTCAGGGCAGGAATTGTGATTTATATTGGAGAAGCAACAGGGTTGAAATGGAGAGAGGAGGAGAGACAGGTGCAGCAGCATCACTCATGCTGGGTTAGCGAATTCCCTCTGGTTCAAAATCAGGCTCTGATTCCCTGGTCCTGTTGGCCACCAAAACTTGAAAGATACATCCAGACACAACCAAAGTCATCCTCAGGGCTGAATGACCAGGGGCTGCTGACTTGAGTGATTTGGGCCCCAGGTGTTCCAAAAATATGGTTCACTAACCACTGAAAATGCTGTTTCCTTCTGTACCCAGGGGACTCACTGACCACCGACCATTCACAAATACTGAACAAGGCACTAGAAGGGCTCCCAGCAAGTGCCCTTGGAAAGACTTCGAAGAGAAAGAACATGCCATGATCAACTCTTACCTCATGCCAGGCAAGCATATCTCACTTAGTGCCTCTCCAGAAGTCGGGTGCTGGTCTGAAGGGGCAAGTGTCAGCTCAGAGAAAAACATCAACTCTTTTTGTTTATGATTGAGCCTAGGCATCAGAGAAAGAACAAAATTCCGTTTGTCAAGAAGTTTGCCACAGCCATAGGAAGACAGGGAAGGACAATCCCTAATCCCCTTGAGAGATCAGGTAATGGAGGTGCCTATTCTATGCAGCCCTCAAGTCCAGGTGCCTCTGATATACAGGTTCGCCATCAGAGAAGCTTACTGTTGGAGTCTTCATCAAGGGTAACACCCGAGAGGCCAGGCACAATGGCTCACACCTGTAATGCCAGCACTTTGGGAGGCCAAGGCAGGAAGATTGTTTGAGCCTAGAAGTTCTAGACTAGCCTGGGCAAAATAGCAAGACGCCATTTCTAAAAATATAATTAGCCAGGCAAAGGCCAGGCATAGTGGCTCACATCTGTAATTCCAGCACTGTGGGAGGCTGAGTAGAGTGGATCACTTGAGGTCAGGAGTTCGAGACCAGTCTGTTTAACATGGTGAAACCTTGTCTCAAAAAAATTCAAAAATTGGTAATCCCAGTTCCTCAGGAGGCTAAGGCAGGAGAATCGCTTGAACCCAAGAGGCAGAAGTTACAGTGAGCTGAGATAGCACCACTGCACGCTAGCCTAGGGGACAGAGGAGACTGTCTCAAAAAAACAAAAAAAATAGCCACACAAGGTGGTGCACACCTGAAGTCCCAGTTACCTAGGAGGCTGAGGCAGGAGGATCACATGATCCCACGAGTTCAAGGCTGCAGTGAGCTATGGTCATGCCACCACACTCCAGTCTGGGCAACAGAGCAAGACTCTGCCTCAAAAAAAAAAAAAAAAAAAAAAAAAAAAAACTGTCCTCTAGATATGGAGGTAAAAAATAAAAATTAAAAAGAGTAAGACCTGAGACCCAAAATTTCGCTATGTGCCTGAGCCTGGAGTCCTTGCCACAACTTATTTTCTCCCTTTCTCAGCGATCTTCCAATTAGCTCTGAAGAAAATTCCCTGATGGGACCAGGACTAGCTCCCCAAGTCTTCTAATAACTAAAGGAAGTTTTTTACTTAATTTCAATTCTAGTCATAGTCCCAGAGACCTACATTAACAAAGCACATTCACTAATATGGCTAAAGACAAAACTAGCAGGAAAGCAGCCCAGTGCGAGAAAGCAGTATACTAGCAAAAATTAAATCTCTCATTCTGAAGTCACAAATTAGTATTTCCAGTCTCTTGTTGATTTGTTCAGCTATTTATTGAGCACTTACTATGTGCCAGGATATGAAAAGTCCTGAGAGCATAAAGATGAATGGGGCATGGGAGTGACCTTGAGGAATTTATAGGGCAGTCAAGGAAACAGAGAAGTAACTTGAAACATGAAAGTATAAGACATCACTTCTGTGTCCAGGCTCAACGTGAGCAAAGTACTGGAGAATCTCAGAGGATGAAGTCCCTGGGTATTAGAAAAGTCAGGATGGAGAAAGTGACATTTCTGGTGAGTCTTAAAGGATAAGATCATACTATAGAGGTTTGGGATGCGGGTGGGGAAGGACTTTGGAGGCAGAGAGAGCGGTGTGCCCGAGTATTCTAGATGAGAAAAATTTAAACTTGCCAGGTAATACAATGCAGGCACTCAAAGACACCAAACCAAAGAAGCTTGGCCTCCAGACTTATCTCAAATCTCATCTCAGCTGGCTCCAGGCTCCATTTTGGACAGCTTATTCCAGTGGAATGAAGTAAACAGGACACCAGGGCAGAATGCCCCCAAAGGGCCTGTGAAATTGCCTAGACTGAGGCTTCCCTCATGCTCAAAAGCCTGGTAGCTGTTGAATTAAGGGAAAGACAATGGACTCTAAATACTAGCCCTTCATAGATTTTGACTGTGGACAGCACAGCCTCCTCAGTTAATATAAAATGTATGGAACAGGTGTGATGGTTCATGCCTGTAATCCCTACATTTTGGGAGGCCAAGACCGGTGGATCATTTGAAGTCAGGAGTTCGAGAACAGCCTGGCCATCATGGTGAAACCCCGTCTCTACTTAAAATACAAAAATTACCTGGGCGTGGTGGTATACGCCTATAATCCCAGCTACTCAGGAGATTGAGGCAGGACACAGGAGATTCACTTGAACACAGGCGGCAGAGATTGCAGTGAGCTGAGAGCTGAGATCGCACCACTGTACACCAGTTTGAGCGACAGAGCAAGACTCTGTCTTAAAAAAAAAAAAAAAAAAGTATTAAATGTATGTGTAAGCCTACATTTAAAAACTCATTCATGTAAAGTGTTATCAGGACTGAGATTCCTTCTGTGAGATATGGAAGTAGACCATAGCAATGGATGAATTTATACTGAACCAGAGATGCTCTCCTTGCTAAGTCAAGGGATGGACAGGGCTTTTCTTCCTTAGGAGGATCATTTCCTCCAGGCATCCTTTGCTTTTATGAGCTCCCTGCAGTGTGAGTTTGTCAGCACCTTCAATATTTAGGTTATCCAGGAGATCTGGGTCCCAGGAAAAACAGTCTGTCACTACTCAAACTCTCATAAAACTGACTTGTAATGAGTCCATTTCATAAATTTCACTGTGAAATAGCTCTGCTACTAGGAAAGTAGGTTTCTGAGAAATTAGGAGGCAGTCATTTGGCACTGAAGATTGGACCACCTGGACAAGAACCCCTTCTTCCTTAGCCCATGCCAGCAACTCGGCACCCTAAATTTCTCAGTGAGCAACACTTCTTCAGGATTCCACGTTACCCTCTCCTGGGAGACAGCACAGACATCAGAAAGGGCCTGGGCCTCTGGTCCATATGAACATGTCTGATTCCTGATCCTGCCATGACTGGCTCTGCGCCTTGGCCAATTCATCCCATCTTGCCAAGTCTCCACTTACTCATCTGCAAAACAGATATGCTTCAGATTGTTGTGTGATTTAAATAAGGTAGGGGAAATGTTAGTAGTCTCCCTCATAGCAGGCACTTGATAAAGGACAGTCATTTTTCCTTTTGTTTACAGCAACACTTGTGACTAAGAAACACCAGATTTAAATCCAGAAGGCCTCCGTCTGATTTCTAATTCTGCTACTTAACATTCTTGGTAGAGATAAGTGTTTTGGTACCTACCTTGTTTCAGATACTATGCTGGCTTTTTATGTACTTAGGGGGTTTTTTGCTCCAAAAACCATCCATCCGAGGTCACCAGACTGCCTGGGGGAGAAGAGGGTTGAGCGGAGAGGGGAGGGAGTAAAGTGATTCATTCATCAGGATTCTATTTCCAATCCCCAAAACTGTTTCCCCAGTTTTTCCAGAGGTGATAGTTGGAACACACTGTAACAACAGCTAGTACCCAGTCCTCTTTTATTGTGTTAGAATTATACAAGTTCTAAAGTTAGCAACGATCTAGAAACTGGGGACAGAGCAGCTTTAGGGCTCTTACAAAGAACCACTGTTGCCTGTTCAACCCTATAGCATAGCAACTTTGCTTGGCTGCAATTTATAGCTGGAGATGTTCTCTCCATTTGAGCCAGCCCAGTTCAGCCTAGAGAGCAGTCTCCTCATCCCTAGAAATCTAGGGAGAGAGGCTCTGACCCTCCCAAGGGCTGAGGAGGCAGGAGCATACCCAGATTAAGGGGGCTTTGGGACTCATCAGACCTGACTCACTTACTAGTTACATGATCTTTCCACAAATTTAACATTTGTAAGGGTGGCGGGGGAATAGCCCCTGTGAGGAATAAATGATAAAAATGGGTGTAAATGGTGTAAATGGCTCAACATGACACCAGTACACTCTACAAAAAATGAGCAAAAATAATCCTTAGTAGCAGCTTCACAAAACGAGGTTGGGAGCCTGAGTTCTAGGTAACAGACAGGGATTTAACAACATCAAGGGCAGGATATAGGGACATGTTTATTTCCCAGATGCAAGGTATCCAAGAGGGGGTCAGACTGCCTTCCCTCCACTTTCTCCCTCCATCTCTTCTTCACAGCAATCCTCCTCTGACTTGTGTGATAATGGCTAATCACATAAGGCTCAGTCTCATTACCTGACATATCTCATATACTGTCTGATATTCTGGGACAAGGGCCAGAGAAAAATGTATTTATCTCTAATTCTAATCTCAATTCTTTTACCCTCAATCTCCCTTTCTTTCCTTAGAGTATCTGTCACAGGCAAACCAGCCAAATAACTGGAAAACTTGTTTCAGGGAAGGGTGTGAGAAGACAAGAAATTTTGAATTTAGCATATCTGCATTAATTTTGTCTCTTTCTAGGCTCTGTGTCAAAGGTAGTAAGGGAATAAGTCTTTTAGTTTCGGCTGGAAGCCCTCACAGTTTTATTTATCTCCAGATTCTTAAAATTATTAATCAGAAATTGACTTGCTTCTTTTCCTGTTTGCTATCTTCTCAAAAGTAAAAAGCACAGGAATTATTAGTTCTAGGAAAGCAACTGTGACTATGCATCTTTCTACTCTGTCCACAGCTACCTAGAAATAACAATTACAAGACATCCTACATTTAGAGAGAACAAGAAAATTAAGCATGTCTATTATTTTTTAGTTTAGTTTGATGTCCAGAGACACTTTTTCAGGGTACCATGAATCCTGATTTTAAGGATAATAAAGCATAAACAGATTACTTACACAATTTGAAGTAGTAATTACTGAACTTTTAAGCCTGTCCACTAAACCTGTAAGAAAGCATTTTCCAGTGTATGTGGCCACACACAAACACATATACACGCAATTCCAGGCTAAGAAATGTGTGTTAAAACTAAGGTGGTTAAAGCACTGAGATATTCCTCCCTGGATTCAAGTTCATGGATGAACATATAAAAACATTATTTCTATCCTTTTCATTCACCATTTACATTCACATTCTATTTTTATTAAGGAACCAGACAGGTCAAGTCACTCAGGTTTAATGATTCCATGGTTTATATCGTCATCACTTGGACACATAACTTCTGTTCCATTTAAGTCTACTTACTGTAGATAATCCAGGTCACCCAGCCTCCCATTTAGAAGATTTAATCAAAGTTTCCTGTACCCCAAAACCCTCACAAAACAGACCTCTAAATGAAATCACAGAAAGATACATATTAGTTCAGTTAGTGGCCAAACACTAGTCTTTAGAGTCCAAAGACCTCTATAACCACTAAGAGTGGGTAAGAGTAGATGGGAGAAAAGAAGGAACAGAGGAACTGAGTTTTCTGAGAAACTCTTTTCCAGACTGCCTGAATAAGTTGCCTTTCCTTAAAAGAGCAAGATTAATCTACTTATGCCAAGATCCACTGGGCAGAAAGCACCCCAATCCAGCTTTAGCTATCTTTACCACTTCTTTGTGACAGCTACAGCAATCTTTCAGAATTTTCTGCAGCAAATTTTCCTCTTTTGCTGTCCCTACAAAGGCAGAAAAGCTAGGGGCCAATCTCTGAGCTAATTCCTTGTATCTAGGCAGGATGAGCGTTCACCGTTTGGACCCCCCTCTGTAAGATGCTAGGACTTTATTTCTTAATGAAAGTTCAACACTGAGGAGAACACAGCAAAGTTATTTACTCACAATCTCAGGCCAACCTCAGGCAGACAGGTTAAAGCAGGGATAAGCAACAGAGGTCTATTTTAACCCTATCCAGGCCAAAAGCAGGTTACACAGGAAATCCCTAAGATCAAGCTAGTGCTCAGGACCCTCTCTAGGATGGTCACAACTGCTGTTTCATCTAGATTGCGTAAGTCATCCCCAAACACTAACTAAGCTTCCCAGTTCCTTCCAGAATAAACTCACTATTCCTTGGTCCTTGGGTCTAGTGGATGATGTGCCACTATTTCAAACTTCCTGGTCCCTTTCCAGCCTGGCTTTATGTCCCCAGAGAATTGGAGCAGCAATGGACCAGACTTGGACTGTGACAAGATGGAGAAAATAGCTGGTTTTTGTAAACTTCAGAGATTAACTGCACTCCCTTTGGAGTCACATTTACTCCTAGCTCTGTGCCAGGAGGATATTATTAAAACAAAACATCTTATTTTAAAAGAGCCTTACCACTGTCCCAATTTTTGCACCTGTCAGTCCTCACCTCACCTTCTCCTCACATACACGCCATCAGAAGATAACTGCCTCAGCACTTTCAGTATCTCTAGGGCCCAAGGATAAAGCAGCATTAATGGCATTTGGCAGAAAATCCCATCCCACATTGAAGACTCCTCCCAGCTCAATACAGTGAAGAAATAAATGACAATGTAAAAGAAGAAGCAGAAACCAGAGCCTGCCCTTTCCCACATCAAAGAGGCACAGAGATTCCAGGAGCAAGTGAAAATGGCATCATCTCTTGCCAGAAGGCCACCAGCTAGCACTAGTTGGGAGTCGCATTATCACTTTCTTTTCCTCCGGACTGAAGTGCAAGATAGTCAATATAGCTGTGAGAGTCTGCTGGCGGCCCAGGGAGTCAGGTAAGGTCAAGAAGCGGTAGATGATGTTTTTGAGGTACTCCAGGTTGGCTCCCTCCCTGCTCTGGTCCCTGATGTTCTTTTCGATGTGGCTTTGCAGGGCTGCAACCTCTTCACGATGCCGTTCGCCCTCCTCCAGCAGCCGATCCTGCAGCTGATGCACCTCGACCTCCAGCCTGTGCTTCTGCTTCCTCAGCGATGTGATCTCCACCTCCTTGCGGGCCAGCTGCTCAGCGTACAGAAAGAAAGTGGGCTCATTGGCCGCTGCAAGTTGTAATGCTTGGGTCAGGCTATCTGAGGATGATGTGTCAACCACGTCCCCAGGACCCCCACCGCCCACAGGACTTCTGCGTCCTGGCAGCCCAGAGGCCAAGGCCACAGAACGCAGTTGTTCCAGTTCCAAGTCCTTCTCAGCGAGCACAGCCAGGGCACGATCCCGCTGCTTGTGCAGCTCCTCCTCCAGTTTCAGTGTGCGGTCCCTGAAGTCCAGCTGGCACCGCTCCAGCTCCTGCCGGTGCAGCTGCTGCAGCCGGGCCAGCTCCTGCTTCCAGTCCTCAGCCTCCTGCTGGTGTTGGTGCTCAAGCTCCTCGCAGGACAACCGCAGGGAGACATACTTCTCCTTCAGCTCTGCGAGCTGTTCCTGGGCTGCCTCCAGCTCCTTCCCCAGATTACCATCTTTGGTATTCTTGCTTTTGAGGACCACCTGGGCCCTCATCTTGTACCTCTCAAACTCTTCCTTCAGCTGTTTCAGCTCCTGTTGGTAATAGAGTGCAGTAGCTTTCTCCCCATCAGCAGTCTCCGAGCTGGTCATTATCTCCAGGTCACAGAGCTTCTCCACATCCAGGGTCACCTGGCTTTTCCTGGCTGCAACCTGCAGCAGTTTCTTCAGCTTCTCCATTTTATCCTTCAGGACATTGACATCCAGACTAGACTCCTCTCCATGGCTGTCCAGAGGGGACCTGCTGGAGGCTGCTAGAGCCAGGGTCTTGTTCTCCAGGTCCAGCTGCAGAATACGCTCCTTCAGCTTCTGGATGGCCAGCTGGTCTTTCTGCTTGGCTTTCTCGTAGGTGCCCAGCAGCTCCGACACCTCAGATATTTGATTCTCCAGGGCTGCCACCCTCTGTTCTTCCACCTGAGATTGCTGACGGAGTCGATCCTCTGCAACAGCTGTCTGCAAAACAAGGGAAGAGAAATAATGCATCGGTTGATTCAGGAGCTAACAAAAGTTCCTATTACCTGCCTGGGTTCTGCAAGACACATATACTAAACAGTATTAAGCACCTTGTTATATCTGCAATTCCATTCTGCTTTCCACCTAACTCACATATAATGTGTGTTACTGTTGTTTTTCTGGTGCTTCCTCAAATCTTATTAAGAAATCATACAACATTTTTCCTTATCTAATATTCCTAGTAGTTCAAAACTGAGCTGGATCTCCCACTCCACATTGAAAGGAAGCAACCTTTCTCCACCAGAAAGGAGGCCTATTCTGGAAAACAGCATTTCTCCAGAACAGGCAAATCTTAAGTAAAGGCAATGACAAGAGGTTACTTCTGAGAAAATCCCCCTTAGCCTTCAGCCACCCTCCCTAGCGGGACATACCAATATAAGATACACTACCTTTTACTGTACAGCTGCCACTATACTGCTTCATAGAACACAGCTGGTAAGATGCCAATGCCCAGAAGGGCAGGGCTGACTGGCTCCAACCCAGCCCACACTGAGAAGCTCCACATTCTCCTGGAAGCACCTACATCAACACCACATAGAACAGCACTTCCCGGGACTCACTAGTGGAACTTTTCAGGTACCATCAAAAATGACAGTGTAGACACTTAGCTCTCGCTAGCAAAGGAGGTAAAAAACCCTAGTATTTCCCACTTAAGATCAATGACTAATGTTTGAAAGAGATGTGGATAATTACCTTTCTCATTTCCTGCTGTAACTGGGCCTGGAAATGGCTCTTAAGGCGGGCGGCCTCTTCCTGAAGTTCTTGCAGCCGGGGGTCTGGCTGAGTCTTCTCATCTCGAATGGCCTGCAGTTCACTTTTCAGCTCCTCCACCTCACGGGTCAGCTGCTTGGTCTGCAGTTCAAATCCTTCCATCTGTTCAGCTGCATATGCTCGTCCTGCCAGGGCTTCTCGAGTCTCTTCTAACCTAAGCTCCAAGTCCTGGCGCTGGGTCCTCTCCTCCTGCAGCAGCTTCTGGAGCTCACGCAGCATCAAGGCATGGTCACTCTGCTCTTGGGCCCGATCATGCTGCTGCGTTATAAGTCGGGCTTTGGTTTCTGCTATTTGCTCCTGCAGCCCCTTCAATTCTCCCTCCAGGCGGAACCTCTCCTCTTCTGCCTTGTTATTGGCATCCTCTAAGTCCTGTTTCATCTTCTTCTTGTCAGCCAAGTAAGAAGCCTCCATGCGGGACTTCTCCTGAGTGACTGTGGCCAAAGAACTGGTCAAAGTAGCCAACTGAGTCTTCAGCTGGTGCAGTCTTTTGTCCACCTCCCCACCCGCAAACGGCCCATCCCCACTGCTACTGCTAACACCACTCTCTGACCCACTGGCCTCTTCGGACTTCGGAGGTGGTGGTCCACGGGCTGGTCTGTCATCTTCTATCCCAAACTCACCCTTGGTGCTGGTGAGACTGGCGGCCGTATCCACACTAGTGGCGGTCCCAGTGCTATCCTCGCTGTGAGTGGAGCACCGGTCATCCACAGAGTCAGGAAAGGCGAGGCCTGGAAGCTGGACACCTGCGAGGCCCACATCTGCCTCGTGGGATACCGACAGCACCTTGATGCTGGCCTCCAGCGCCTCTTTCTCCTTCAGCAGGCTTTTATAAGCACGGACCACATCCTTGAGCCGTACCTGGTACTGGAGAAGCTGCTTCTTCTGCGTCTCTATAGTCTCCAGCAAGTCTTTCTTGCTCGGGCCGCCACCGAAATTCATTGCAAACTTCTCCATGGAGGTTCTGAACGGATTGCTCCACTTCAGCTTTCCAGCAGCTCGAGAGAAGGCCGCGAAGAGGCAGACAGGGGCTTAAAGAAACAGCCAGTGGGCTGTCCGGCGGCGGGCCGCACACCTGCTGCACCCAGTTATCCCGGACCTAAGGCGGATAGGCGGAACCAACAGGCAAAAGTGCCCTCCTGGTCCCAGGCCCGAGGGTGGGGGCGGGTACTACCCGGGAGGCGGGGCGACGCTGGCACCAGAGGCGTGCTCGGCCAGGGCTCGTCCGCGCTGGCCTAGAAGCCGCTCCACACTCTCCGCTCTGTCCAGGCCACAGGAGCCCTGGCCGGCCCCCTCGGCCCACGTAGGTCAGGTGCTCACGCTGAGCGGAGTCCCATCACGATTTCCTAACTACAACTGCCTGCCCACTACAGCGCTTCCGTGTCCGCTGGAAGTGACGTCAGCTAGGCGCCGCGGGCCCCGCCCCCAGTGGGCGGGAGTTAGGCGGAGCCCAATCCGCGGGTGGGTGGGCGCGGCCTGTTGAAAACGCAGTACGGCAGCGAGCGGCAAACAGGCTTGGGAAGAGAGAAGCAAGCAAAGTCGAAGATACCAGAGTGGTATTGGTTTTGTGAGAGCGCCTAAGCTTGACCTCGGGCTACTATCCGCGAGCGACAGAGGGCGACGTCGCACTGCGTTCTTAACAAGCACTTAGGTGAACGACGCATTCAAGGATTTGGGGGCTTAGGTCCCATGTTCCTAAAAGGCAACAATTAAAGACTCGCATTTAGACCGCGAAAACTGGAGTCCTCTCTAGCACAGTGCTTGGCACCTAGTAGGTATACAGCGTAATCGTTAGTATGCTTCCTTAGTTCTGCTGAGTTGATTCAACAAATATTTATGGAGGGCACTCTAAAGCCATGTCTATCCTGAGTGCCAGCTATGTACCAGGAGCTCACAAGAGTTTTGCTACTTAGTCTTTACAATAATTATTATAAGCACTATACTCATTAGCACTATTTTACAGTTAGGGGAACATGAGGCAAAAGGGTTATACGTAACATGACCAAGGTCACACAGCTAGGAAGTTTAGTTCTATCTGAATCAGTCTGATTCTCAACATATTACGTGTTGTACCAGACGATAACACCATTAACAGATATGACCTTGCTTTCAGGGAACTCACAACCTAGTGAGGAACTAGACACACAAACATGTCCTGCTATAATACCAGTATGTATGGGTATATTCAAAGTGGTAGGAAAGTTAAGAGGAAAGAGGCCTGGCTAGGTGAGGCATGGAAGGCTCTTGGGAATAATACTTTGGGATTTGAAGTATGAGCCCTGATTGTCCACCTAACCAGAGATCAGGGAAACCAGCATTCCAAGCAGGTGGAAAAGATGCAAAGACCTGTAGGGTATCAGAGTTTGACTCACCCAGAATGCATTCAGTAGCTTAGGGTATGTGAAGGAGGGGACAACAGAGGGGCTGGCATAAGAGACAGGGACCCAACTTATGGCATTTAAATTTTATCTTGGGTGATAGTGAGGCCCTAATGGATTTTAATCTGAAAAGTGGAATGTCATCAAGCCTTGTATGACATGGTGGAGGGAACAAGGGGCAGGAGACCTGTGAAGAGACTCTTTCAGTCATGGGGAAGAGAATATAGTGACAACAGAGATGGAGACAAAGAGGCTGATAAAAGAGCTAAACGTAGACATGACTTAACTTGGTGACCACTAGTTCTGTTATTATGTTGGGACTCTCTAACATGTACTCTTCAGCCTTGTAAAAGCCTTCTTAGGGATGCAAGTCTATGACTGAAGAGAAGAGGAAAGGCATGTGCTCACTCATTCCTGTTTCCCAAAGTCTGTCCTTGTAACAGACTTTGCAGGTAGGGATGGGGCAGGCCCTGGCGGTCTGTTCAGACCCCGTTTCTCAGTGGCCTAAATAACATCTAGCTGTATTATACATAACATTCGGTCACATTATCTCATCATTTTAATATTTACCATAACCCCTTAAGTTAGAACAAGTCTCCTTTTATAGATGATGAAATAACAGAAGAGTTATGAAGAGTGTTGAAGCCAAATCCTCAAGAAATGGGAGCATTAAGATTTGAACTAAAGCCTGAAACAGTACTGGCACATGGTGGGTGCTCAGTAAATATTTGCTAAAAAAGTAAATGAATGAGTGAAGGTTTTTTTTTTATTCCCAGCTCAGTTTACCTCGAGTCCATAAACAACTGATCCTAGAAGCCCACGGGGAATCCAGAGTAGGCCCCTGCGCTTGCTCCACTGGAATCTATCAGTCCGGTTCAACTGAACAAGCATTTGTTAGGCCTATATTAAATGTCTGGCATTAAGCCAGTCTCCCACAGAAGAATTTCGTTCCTATTTTGCTATTCTCCCCTCAGATGCTAAAATGAGGCAGGGAAATGACATGTGAAGCTCTTTGGGTCTAGGGAATCAAGATCCTCACAAAATCCTGAATGGATGTACAAGAATAAGCCAGGTCCACAAGTCTGTGGCATAGTGAGGAACTTCAGCGAAGCGGCCTGCGCCTGGGCTGAAAGGCGGGGCCCGCAGGGCCATCCAGGCGAAGGTGGACTTCTCCAACAGCCCAGAAGTGGGTCTGCGACCACGACACCACGATTTCCAATTCTGTTGATTGGGAATCTATGAAGTAGGCGTTTTAAGGACTCACGGAAGCTAGCTAGCACTGGGGCACCTTCCTCTACCTCCGGCGCAACTCTCACAAGACCACCTACTACGCGCAAGAGCCTCAGTGGAAGATGAGGGGGTAAAGGGAGGTCTAAGACCCCTAGGCGCAGCTTCCGCTCCCTACGTTCAGTGCTACTGGTTCCCAAGAGCTAAAACTGGAGCCGCTAGGGGCCTGGACCCAAGAAACCAAAGTCCAGCGCCGGCCACTGAAGATAGGGGCAGGGGCCGCTGCGGAGCGATGAAGCTTTTTCCTCAGCCGCGCTCCGGCTGCCGCTTCGGCGGCCACAGGCTTGGCAGGCGCGCTAGAGACCCAGTCCCTTTCCCAAGTAAGGGCCACGCGGGACCGAGGCCAGCCGCGGCAACTCACGGAGTTTCGGATTCCCGCGGAGCCAGAGCCGGGGGGCGGGGCCGGGGGGCGGGGGCGGGGCCCGGGCGGGGGCGGGCCCACGGTGACGTCGGGCGGGCAGCGACGCGCGGAGGCGGCGGCGGAGCCTCCTCCTGCTGCTGGTGCTGCGCCCCATCCCCCCGCGGCCGGCCAGTTCCAGCCCGCACCCCGCGTTGGTGCCTTCACCCCCTCCCCGGGCCCCGCCATGGGCCTCACCGTGTCCGCGCTCTTTTCGCGGATCTTCGGAAAGAAGCAGATGCGGATTCTCATGGGTGAGGCAGATCAAGCGCGCGGCCCGGAGCGGGGCGCCGGCCCCGGCGCAGCCCTTCCGCCCCCGCGTCCCTCCAGCCCCGCTCACCTGGGCCTCTGGCCCCGGGTCACCCACCTTCTAACGCCCCGGGGCCTCTGCTCTCGAGCGGGTCCCGGTGTGCAGCCCCGACCCCAGGGCCTGACACCCGGAGCTGCGGGCCTGGGTGGGGTGAAGCTCCCTCCGCCCCAGCCCCGCTGGTAAGGGAGGATTCCGCCCTAGGAGACGACTTTTAAAAGGAGCTCGGCCTTCCTCCCGTACCCCTTGCCTCCCAGCCTTCTCCCGCTCCGCTCCCTCTTTGGAGTTGGCTCACACCACCCGACTGCCCTCCAGGCCCCAAAGGTAGATAACGACGCGCACCTGGAGGTGCTCCCGCTCTCCGCCACCGTCACCATCAGCTGTTGTGGCCTCTCCCTTTTCCTGGTCTCTAGGGGGCTCCCTCGCTCCCATCTCCATCCCTGTGCCCCTCTCCGTTGCAGTTGGCTTGGATGCGGCTGGCAAGACCACAATCCTGTACAAACTGAAGTTGGGGGAGATTGTCACCACCATCCCAACCATAGGTGAGCCCGGGGACGAAGCAGAGAGTGGGAGCGCCTCGCCGGGCCCTCTTCGGGGTCTGCTCCCAGTTCTGCCACTTGTCTGGAGCTGACCCTGACATCAGATACAGCTACTTGAGAAGTGGGTCAGGGTATCTCTACGTGGATACCGGAGGCGGGGTGGATGTGACCTAGGCCCGCCTTGTTGACCGCCAGTTCTGGGGTTCCCTTCCCCTGGGCCTTGATCATTGCCTTCCATTGCCTTCTGGTTTGGTGTCCCTGCTGAGATCCAAGTAGTTTTAGTCCCTTTCCTTCAGGAGTTTTTCTCATAAATATATTTTTTCCAATTATCTGCAGGCTTCAATGTAGAAACAGTGGAATATAAGAACATCTGTTTCACAGTCTGGGACGTGGGAGGCCAGGACAAGATTCGGCCTCTGTGGCGGCACTACTTCCAGAACACTCAGGTGGAGTGTTGGGAGGGGACTCCCTAACCCCAGTAGAAATGGTGTTAGGGCTGGGAGAACAGAGTTGTTGGCCTAGGCTGGGCCCCCAGACCAAGGAAAAAACCCTTCCTCCCTTCTACCCCTCTCTGGTTAACCTCTGCTCATCTGCTCACCCTTCAGACCTCGCCTTAGTCTTCCTCACCTTGGACTTCTCATTAGAAGCAGGAGTCTGGGATCCAGCTGCCTGATTTAGCCCTCATCACATATCTTTATTTTCTTGCACATCTTTAGATAAACTACTTCCTCCTCAGGGACAAAGGCTGTATTCTTTGCAGTGGGGTCTCTAGTTTGTGCCAGGACTCCTGTAGAGCTTCTGTGGAGTTCTGTAAACTTCTGTAGAGTTTACTAGTTGAGAAGGATTGACAAAATTACAGATGGGAAGAAAAGAGAAAGGGCCACTCCACCGTGTGTCCCAGGCAGGAGTGATTGCTTCTCCCTCCTTCCTTCCTTCCTGCCCAGGGCCTCATCTTTGTGGTGGACAGTAATGACCGGGAGCGGGTCCAAGAATCTGCTGATGAACTGCAGAAGATGGTGAGTACCCAGAGCCCTGGGAACGGAGCCCTCAGCTTGGGGATAGAGTGATCTCTGTAGTTGTATAGAAGTCAGGGAGCCCCCCACAGGCATTGAAGACCAGGAATATGAGTACCTCACCATGTTTTGGATGGGACTGACTTTTTCTGTGTGCATTCTTATGTCTTTTTTTTTTTTTTTTTTTTTTGTGACGGAGTTTTGCTCTTGTTGCCCAGGTCCGAGTGCAGTGACACAGTCTCAGCTCACTGCAACCTCCGCCTCCCAGGTTCAGGCGATTCTCCTGCCTCAGCCTCCCAAGTAGCTGGGATAACAGGCCCCTGCCAACATGCTCAGATAATTTTTGTATTTTTAGCAGAGACGGAGTTTCACCATGTTGGCCAGGCTGGTCTTGAACTCCCGACCACCGGTGATCCTGGCCTCCCAAATCGTTGGGATTATAGGCATGAGCCACCACTCCCAGCCACATTCTCAGT